AAGTTACCCAAATGTTGCACATGTGTCTAAATCTTCAACTTATCAGTATTTCGTACCATTTCCAAAAGTACTCTTTCTCTTGTGTTCATGTATACCATTATCAGATTCACAAATACTGGGGTTATTAGGGTCAGGAGTGTTAGGGAAACGTAACCCTAACATACGTGATACCGCGATCCCCAGTGGTGACTTGTACTTAGCTCAGTAGCAACGTTACTACTGGTTTAGAAAGACACGAAGTCGTAATGACACGATTGTAAACAAACCATACCACGGGTGGGATTTGAACCCGTGGTCAGAGTCTCAAAACTCCAGACCGTAGCTTTGGCTAGCTGGTCCAGTGGCTAACGCGACGGTCTGGAGTTTTGAGACTCTGACCGCGGGTTCAAATCCCGCCCGTGGTATGGTTTAGAAAGACACGTAAGCAAACACTAGGAGACATATTTATTAGGAAACGTTTCGGTCCTGGGACCTTGATCACTTCTAACATAGAGGTAGAAAGACATTATATATAGGCGGAGAGTCTTTCTACCTCTCTATGTTAGAAGTGATCAAGGTCCCAGGACCGAAACGTTTCCTAATATGTCTCCTAGTGTTTGCTTACGTGTCTTTCTGAACCAACTTGTCGGTATTTATTACCAAGGTTTATACCAACGTTGCTACTAACGTTTCAAAAGTGTTCGACAGAAAACTAGCCAAAATTTCTACCAGCTCACTAACTACTATTAGTATATAAGCTCCAGCCTCCTTTCCTCTGCTCCAGAGCCTCCACGACTACGGTGCTCTTCGCACCAACTACAAGGCTGAGGGACTGATTACCTCATCTTCTGTATATAGTTTTACTGTCATCAAATTATGTCCAGGAATTTGTATTGATGAAGCCACTGGATGGCGAAACGTATACAGTAAAGATACCCAGATGTTGTTGTAGGAACCTGATACAAAAACCCAAACATGAGTCTGGTACTTTGTCACACACCCATGTGGGGGATGTGACAAAGTATATGTGGGGGAAACTGCCAGATCTCTGGACATAAGGATCACAGAACACAAAAATGCTTGCAGTAATGATGACTGTAAAAACGCCTGTGTTCAACATAGAGACGATGTTGGACACCTCGTGAAATTCAGTGAGGCTAAACTAGTGATTAAAGAAGACGACTTAAGACGGAGAAAATGCATAGAATCTGCCCTAATTACTGTCAGTAACACTACAAAGCAAAAGTCTGGTAGTTACAGTATCTCAAAATTGCTAATCAACAAGATATTACCCGTTCTGGAAACTGCTGTTACATGATGTCAACAGGTCCCTCTGTAGCCATCCGTCTCACCACCTTAGTTCCACTACTACTGCTACTACTACTACTACTAACGCGACGGTCTGGAGTTTTGAGATTCTGACAGCGGGTTCAAACCCCACCCGTGTTATGGTTTGTTTGCAATAGTGTCATTACGATTTTGTGACTTACTACTACCACCACTACCACCTCTATCCACGCGACTCTTCACCTGACTCCTGCCACTGATTACATCGTCTTCAAGTCTCTTCTGCTTCTATCAACTTTTCTGTACTCGACTGAAGAAACCTACTGTGTAGGCGAAACGTTTCGTAATAAAGATACCTAACTGTTGCATATGTGTCTTACCTAACAACATGGGCCAGTAGGCCTGCCTCAGTGCTCTTCCTTGATGTTCGTGTGTAAGACTGCATTGTGTTGGTGTCGTGGTCTTTAGGTCCTCAACCTTCAAGTGACGCGACGTTGCTAACATTAACCCAAGTCCACAAACTGACCTTTGGCCTTCAGTCCCCACAGGTACACGGACCTTGGTGGTAAATAAGACACATGTGCGACACTTGGGTATCTTTATTGTGGGAACATTTCGCCACACAGTGGCTTCATCAGTCCAAAAAAAAAGAATAGTGAAAATCAGAAGAAGATTGAAGTAATCAGTCCCTCAGCCTGGAGACTGATGAAGCCACTGTGTGGCGAAACGTTTCCACAATAAAGATTCCCGAATGTTGCACAATTTTCTCATTTATCAACTTCTCGGTTTTCTAAACTGTTTATTGAAACACACCTTGGTGTCCACACCTTGGTGTCCACACCTTGGTGTCCACACCTTGGTGTCCACACCTTGGTGTCCACACCTTGGTGTCCACACCTTGGTGTCCACACCTTGGTGTCCACACCTGGTGTCCACACCTTGGTGTCCACACCTTGGTGTCCACACCTTGGTGTCCACACTTGGTGTCCACACCTTGGTGTCCACACCTTGGTGTCCACACCTTGGTGTCCACACCTTGGTGTACACACCTTGGTGTCCACACCTTGGTGTCCACACCTTGGTGTCCACACCTTGGTGTCCACACCTTGGTGTCCACACCTTGGTGTCCACACCTTGGTGTCCACACCTTGGTGTGGACACCTTGGTGTCCACACCTTGGTGTCCACACCTTGGTGTCCACACCTTGGTGTCCACACCTTGGTGTCCACACCTTGGTGTCCACACCTTGGTGTCCACACCTTGGTGTACACACCTTGGTGTACACACCTTGGTGTCCACACCTTGGTGTCCACACCTTGGTGTCCACACCTTGGTGTCCACACCTTGGTGTGGACACCTTGGTGTCCACACCTTGGTGTCCACCCTTGGTGTACACACCTTGGTGTCCACACCTTGGTGTCCACACCTTGGTGTCCACGCCTTGGTGTCCACGCCTTGGTGTACACGCCTTGGTGTCCACACCTTGGTGTCCACACCTTGGTGTCCACACCTTGGTGTCCACACCTTGGTGTCCACACCTTGGTGTCCACACCTTGGTGTCCACACCTTGGTGTCCACACCTTGGTGTCCACACCTTGGTGTCCACACCTTGGTGTACACACCTTGGTGTCCACACCTTGGTGTCCACACCTTGGTGTCCACGCCTTGGTGTCCACGCCTTGGTGTACACGCCTTGGTGTCCACACCTTGGTGTCCACACCTTGGTGTCCACACCTTGGTGTCCACACCTTGGTGTCCACACCTTGGTGTCCACACCTTGGTGTCCACACCTTGGTGTCCACACCTTGGTGTCCACACCTTGGTGTCCACACCTTGGTGTTCCACCCTTGGTGTGGACACCTTGGTGTCCACACCTTGGTGTCCACACCTTGGTGTACACACCTTGGTGTCCACACCTTGGTGTCCACACCTTGGTGTCCACACCTTGGTGTACACACCTTGGTGTACACACCTTGGTGTACACACCTTGGTGTCCACACCTTGGTGTACACACCTTGGTGTCCACGCCTTGGTGTCCACGCCTTGGTGTACACACCTTGGTGTCCACACCTTGGTGTACACACCTTGGTGTCCACACCTTGGTGTACACACCTTGGTGTACACACCTTGGTGTCCACGCCTTGGTGTCCACACCTTGGTGTCCACACCTTGGTGTACACACCTTGGTGTCCACACCTTGGTGTCCACACCTTGGTGTCCACACCTTGGTGTCCACACCTTGGTGTCCACACCTTGGTGTCCACACCTTGGTGTACACACCTTGGTGTACACATCGTGGTGTCCACACCTTGGTGTCCACACCTTGGTGTACACACCTTGGTGTCCACACCTTGGTGTGGTTGTAGTAATTGTGGTTGTTCGTGTAGTGGTTGTACTTCTACTGGCTTTGGTGGTTGTAGCTATTGTCTTGTGATTATTCGAAGATGTGATGGTAATAGCGATTGTGGTTGTTTGGATAGTTGTGATTGTGAAAATGGTAAATGTCAGGTTATAAGAATTTTGTGATATTTTGTTTGTAATAATGGTTGTATTGGTGGTTGTGGTTGTTGGGAGGGTAGTTGCGATAAGCATTGTGAAATTGTGATTGTAAATGTCCTGATTTATTGTAATGATTGTGTAATTTCCAGTCTTAGGTAGACGTGAGTATAATTATCATTCTAAGTGTAAATTACTTAGAATAACCCAAAACAAAGTCAGACTTATTTCTATTGGAGTTATTAACACTTCTCCTGTGGTGATTGTGGTAGTGGTTTAATTGTTGGATGTTGTAGTTGTGGTAGTTTAGTGTGGTGAAGATTGTGGTAGTTTAGTGTGGTTGAAGATGTGGTAGTTTAATGTGGTGAAGATTGTGGTAGTTTAGTGTGGTTGAAGATGTGGTAGTTTAATGTGGTGAAGATTGTGGTAGTTTAGTATGATTGGAGATTGTGGTGGTTTAGCATGGTTGAAGATTGTGGTAGTTTAGTATGGTTGAAGATTGTGGTAGTTTAATATGATTGGAGATTGTGGTAGTTTAGTATGGTTGAAGATTGTGGTAGTTTAATATGACTGAAGATTGTGGTAGTTTAATATGATTGGAGATTGTGGTAGTTTAGCATGGTTGAGATTGTGGTAGTTTAGTGTGGTGAAGATTGTGGTAGTTTAGTGTGGTTGAAGATGTGGTAGTTTAATGTGGTGAAGATTGTGGTAGTTTAGTATGGTTGAAGATTGTGGTAGTTTAATATGATTGGAGATTGTGGTAGTTTAGCATGGTTGAAGATTGTGGTAGTTTATTGTGATTGGAGATTGTGGTAGTTTAGCATGGTTGAAGATTGTGGTAGTTTAATGTGATTGGAGATTGTGGTAGTTTAATATGATTGGAGATTGTGGTAGTTTAATATGACTGAAGATTGTGGTAGTTTAGCATGGTTGAAGATGTGGTAGTTTAATGTGGTGAAGATTGTGGTAGTTTAGCATGGTTGAAGATTGTGGTAGTTTAGCATGGTTGAAGATGTGGTAGTTTAATGTGGTGAAGATTGTGGTAGTTTAGCATGGTTGAAGATTGTGGTAGTTTAGCATGGTTGAAGATTGTGGTAGTTTAGCATGGTTGAAGATGTGGTAGTTTAATGTGGTGAAGATTGTGGTATTTTAGCATGGTTGAAGGTGGTGGTTGTAGATGATTGTGAACGTTGCTGTTATGATTGTGGCTTTGTTAGATAAAGTACAGATGGACTTACTTGTTGGAGGGATTAGTAGTAGTGGTGGTGGTGGTGGTGGTGACAGCGGCGATGGTGGTGGTGATTGGTGGTGATGGTGGAGAGGAGGGGGTGGTGGTTGGTGGTGGTGAGGGAGTGGGAGAGGCGGTAGCATCAACCAGACCCCAGATGCTGAAGCAAAATACTCAGACCCGACCTCACTGAACCGCCACTTTTATTGTGAGGCATCACGTGACCGCTCAACCCCCCCCCAGCCCCTCCTCCTCATGGACCCCCCCCCCCTTCCTCATGAACTTCTCCCCAACATATACTTCCCCATGGCACCAAATGGTTTTTCCCCTCCCACACTCCACCTCAGCACTAGCTACCACCCCGGTGGCCGGGTGGGTAAAGCTCCCGCTTCACACACGGAGGGCCCGGGTTCGATTCCCGGCGGGTGAAAACATTTCGACACGTTTCCTTACACCTGTTGTCCTGTTCACCTAGCAGCAAATAGGTACCTGGGTGTTAGTCGACTGGTGTGGGTGGCATCCTGGGTGTTAGTCGACTGGTGTGGGTCGCATCCTGGGTGTTAGTCGACTGGTGTGGGTCGCATCCTGGGTGTTAGTCGACTGGTGTGGGTCGCATCCTGGGTGTTAGTCGACTGGTGTGGGTCGCATCCTGGGTGTTAGTGGACTGGTGTGGGTCGCATCCTGGGTGTTAGTGGACTGGTGTGGGTCGCATCCTGGGTGTTAGTCGACTGGTGTGGGTGGCATCCTGGGGGACAAGATTAAGGACCACAATGGAAATAAGTTAGACAGTCCTCGATGACGCACTGACTTTCTTGGGTTATCCTGGGTGGCTAACCCTCCGGGGTTAAAAATCCGAACGAAATCTTATCTTATCTTATCACCCCAATGGAAGTAAGTCTGACTTTTTTGGGTTATCCCAGGTTCTCTACACATATACTTCTATGTATGATAATCTATGTAACTGTATTTAAGGACTGATTACCTCATTCTCCTCCTGTTCTTCAAGATTCTCCTTTGTATGGACTGATGAAGCCACTGTGTGGCGAAACGTTTCCTCAATAAAGATACCCAAGAGTTGCACATGTGTCTAATTTGTCAACTGTATTTGTGTATACCTGGATCAATTTAACAGTCCTCCATCTACGTTTGTCACAATAGTAACTGGAAAAGAAATACCCGACTGGTCCAGGTCGGACCGAAACGTCGTTGTAAATTTCACTCCTGTGTGCGGGTTGTGTATTGTACATACAATACCGACAAGATAAAGAATTAGACACATGTGAAACATCTGGGTATCTTTATTGTAGACGTTTCGCCAACCATTTGATTCAAGACTACGGTGGTCTTCACCACCTGCAAGGCTCAGGGACTGATTACCTCATCTTTTGTAGGTAATTCTTCACATTAAGTCCTTGTATCGATAAAGCCACTGGTTGGCGAAACGTCTACAATTAAAAGATAGCCAGATGTTGCACATGTATCTAATTACTTGTGTACTGTTCCATGACTCACGAAATCGTAATGACAATTGCAAGCAAACCATGGTACGGGGGGGGGATCGAACCCGCGGCAAGTGAGTTGTAAAACTCCTGGCTCAGTGGCTTACGCACTGGCCTGGAGTTTTAAGATTCACTTGCCATGAGTTCGATCCTCACTCGTACTGTGGTTTGTATTGCTCCAGTCAGTTAAAGGAGTTACAGTGTTCGGCTTCATGTGTACAAGAACCACGGTTCGAGTCCCCGCTCGGTATTCTGTTTATTAAAAAAAGTACGTTTGGCTCAAATGAACCTATCAAAGTGAGAGTTAAACTTGTTTCGCTCTTATCACGTAACCATAGCCTCTTGACTCTCATCCCACGCAGCAGGCCTGATGGCTGAAGCCAAGAACCTCAAGAGACCCAGGTGTTTATAACGAGATTAATTGGTAGGGCTGAAAGCGGGTGGTTAATGATAGACGTCTTCGGAGGCTTCTTAGTTTATTGTTTAATAGTGGTGGGTACACAGGCTTATGTGTTGTGCCCATGGCCCAGGAGGGCCATGCCCACGAGAGGAGCTAGGAGTAGGCCTTGTGTCTTCCTGCTAGGCCGCTGTGTGAGTGAGAGTGAGGCAAGGGCAGGCAGGCTGGCGTGCCCACCGAGAGGCCTGGCTGCAGAGGGCAGCACCTTAGTGGCGCAAAATATGAACTAAGCTGGCAGACAGCGTGGGCTGTCTGTGCAGACAGTACAGGCTGTCTACACAGCAGCTATATATCAACACCCACAAGAGGCCCAGGAACTATATTTCAGCACGCAGAAGAGGCCCAGGAACAAGTGCTGGAGATGCGAAGAGCTCTCAAGAAGAAGCCAATGAGGACTCCTCTCTTAGTGCGGGTGTCTTGCTGTGAATAAAAGTGTGACAAACTTCTCTTCAAAGTGTATAGAAAACCTACCAACAAGGACGATATTATACACTTTTATTCACACCAAGACACCCGCACTAAGAGAGGAGTCCTCATTGGCTTCTTCTTGAGAGCTCTTCGCATCTCCAGCCCTTGTTTTCTAGAAGAAGAATGTACTTATATAAAACAAGCCTTTACACGTCTTTCAGTTCCCATCTTTCTTCATCCGAGATTGCAGACTCAAGGCACAAGCTATCCTCAACAAACCGCCCTAGGGATCATAGAACTGTTAGCACAATTCGATCCATTCTTAGCAAATCATGTGTCACGCCTTGGGAATGCAGGAAGAGGCACTGTATCTTACATGTCATCTACTATATGCAATGAATTTATTGAACTGATGACTAAGAAGGTCCTCAATAACATCATAGCAGCTGTGAAAACTGCTAAATACTCTGCAATAAGTGTAGATTCAACACCAGATATTTCACAACAGATCAATTGACATTCATTGTTCGCTTTGTCGACTCCAGTGGTAAGCCTGTAGAGCTCTTTATAAAATTTATTCCTCTTTCAGGCCATGATGGAGAAACAATGATGAATGTAGTACTGGATACTCTGCTTGAACATGATCTCTCTATTATGGATTGCCGTGGCCAGAGCTACGACAATGCAAGTAACATGTCGGGTAAATATAATGGATTGCAAGCCCGTATCAAGCAAATCAACCCACTTGCTGAATATGTGCCCTGCTCAGCACATTCTCTTAATCTTGTTGGGTCATGTGCTGCGGAGTGTTGTGTCGCTGCAGTTTCATTTTTTGGACTTTTACAAGCACTCTTTAATTTTTTCTCTGCTTCAACGCATCGGTGGAGTATACTCAAGTCAACCATTCATGGAGATGTCATCAAATCATTATCAACAACAAGGTGGTCAGCGCAGCATGATGCAACACATGCTTTGAAAGACAGCTTTGCTGAAATACGTTCTGCTTTGATCCAAATAGCAGAGGATGAAGACCAGACAGCAACTACAAGAAGCGAAGCAGCCAGCTTAGCATCAAAATTGGAAGATTTTGAATTAGCCTTACTCTGTGTGCTTTGGGACTGTATACTGGAACGGTTAAATGCCACGAACAAGACACTTCAGAAAATTGAAATTGAAATGGCTACTTGTGCTAACCTCTATGCAGGCTTAGTGGAATTTGTAAGCTCACTTCGCAATGATGAAGATTTTGAAATGTTTGAAGAGAAAGCTAAACTGCTGGTGAAAGACTACAGTTACCGGGCTGATCATCAGCGGTCAAGGAAGAGGAAACGCAATTTTGAAGAGCCAGACAATGAAATTGTGTTGCTACCAAGGCAGAAATGTAAGACAGCTACATACTTCGTCATTCTGGATTCACTGATTACAGAATTAGTGAAAAGAAAAGAAATCTACCAGAATCTCAATGACAAGCTGCTTCTCCGCTCATATGCCGTATTCTATTCAAGATTGATGGACTGACCACATCGACTCAAGGTTGAGGGACTGATTACCTCATTCTCCTCCTGTTCTTCAAGATTCTCCTTTGTATGGACTGATGAAGCCACTGTGTGGCGAAACGTTTCCTCAATAAAGATACCCAAGAGTTGCTCATGTGTCTAATTTAGTAACCTAGCCTTGTTGACCATTGAGTCTGATCTAACAAGAAATATTGATTTTCAGAATATAATTGATGATTTTGCCAATATGAAATCCAGAAAAAAGTTTATTTAAGAATTGCCTGTGAATATAAACAATTCTTTACTTTCTTGAGTTTATTGATTTATAGTTTTGCATTCAATGAAAACAAAATTTGTCAGTGTTTTTAAAAAGGGGAAATATAGGTGGGGGTTTTATCTGAATATAATAGGTACTGTGTAATATTTATTCCTAATTAGAAATATATGTGTTTTGGTTTTTTTTTAAAATGTGTTTTAAAAAAGATTTTATAGGGGTGTTGGTAAATGGTTTTGGTTGTCTTGATGTTTTCCCCTATTAAATTTAATTAAATCCCAGATGTATTTAATTGGATTTTAAACGGTACACCGCCCCCCAACCCCCCCCAAAGCTGGAAGGGGTCGCTTGTTCCCGTCCCAAAAGGGGCCCCCCCAATCTAATAGTAGGGGGAGACTTTTTTACCCCTGTTCCTGGGCTGCAACCCGAATCATGCTTCTTGGCCTTTTGGGGAGGGTCGAGGGTTTGTGTGCAAGGCAGTTGGGCAACTTGCTGCGTTTCAAGGCTTTCCCGAGGAGAGACGTCCCTAGCAAATCTTTTGTTGGGGAAATGGATGAACCCCCTGCTATGTTTTTTAATGCTCTTTTACTCGTAATTTGTCTATGATTTAATCTGTATTAGTGTTTATCATTATTCCTTTAAAAATTTGTATGATTGTGCCGCTCACCTGGGTATTCCCTTTGAAAATTCTCTAATTTTTTTGATTATTACTTTGTAACTTCTCGTATAAAATTTTGGGGTCACCCCCTGGAATTATGCCCTCGTAATCTTTTGACTCCCCCCACAGGATGGGTTTTGGGGGGTGACTCCCGCCCCAGGAGGGTTGGGGGGAGATAATAAACTTTTAACTAAAAACCCCAATAACATGTTCGTTTTTCCCTTACTCCTTGACCTATTGCTATCACATTTTTTTGTTTTTTAAGGGAAAAGGGAAAGGATCTTTTTATTTCATGGTATAATTTAACAAATCTTTGATGTCAGTTGTGTTGCAGAGGTCTGAGATCTTTCCTTAATTCATGGTATAATTTAAC